TATATCTCCAATAATATCAGAAAGATAGCTCATATACCAGTAAAAATCTAGAAAGGAATTAAAGGGTGGGACCCCCCTAGCTCTTGGAATATGGTTTTCTGGTTTTGGAGGTTTTAAAGCTTAAATCAAGGCCGGGCATGGTGGTGCACGCCTTTAGTCCCAGCACTTGGGAGGCAGAGGCAGGCGGATCTCTATGAGCCAGCCAGGTCTATATAGTGAGTTCCAGGCCAGCTGGGGCTATCTGGAAACCCTGACTTAAAAAGACCAAAAAATTAAAAAATAAAAATAGTTTGAATCAGCATACTAATGTTAGAAGCCTGTCTGTTTGGTCCCTGTCTGGCTCCCCTCTGTCTGAGGTGCATTACTTCTTTTGTAGAAGCCACTACGGGGAGAAGACCCACTGCCAACCATGGCATTACATAGTGAGCCCCAAGGCCAGAAGACTACAAATCACACACAGAAGCCAATTAAAAGCAGGAGTCCTTTATTGATAATTGATGAGCTCGAGGCTGAGAGTGGCTAGTACCTTTGAAAGTCTCTCAGCGCTAAAGCGCAGAGATAGTTTATAAAAGAACGGCAAAAATCATACCAGCTTGGACCAGATGGAAGTCAGAAAGACCTTGCTTGCTATAGTTGTTTTAGTTATACTTAAGCAGATGTATTGGTTATACTTCTAGGCCATAGAGTTGTGAAAAGCCCTGACTGTTGGCTGGGGTAGGCTAGTGGCTGGGAAGAACGCCAAAGCAGGACTAAATTGAGTTTCTTTAGCTACTTCACTATGAGCCCTAAATTATTTACTTATTTATGTGTATGTATGTACTGCCTGCATGTAGGTAAGTGTACCTGTGTCATGCAATGCCCACTGAGGACAAAAGAGGTTGTCGGATCCCCTGGAACTGGAGTTATGGATAGTTGTTAGCTGCTATGTGGGTGCTGGGATTCAAAGCTGGGGCCTTCTGCAAGAACAGCCAGTGTTCTTAACTGCTGAGCCATCTCTCCAGCCACCAAGGCCCCACGTTAAGAAGAGAATGAGACGGTATAGTTTAATTCTGGGTTAAATAACAAGTCTCAAAGGGGGAATTGGGGGAATTGATGTAGAGCCCGATGGAATATTTAGGAAAACTATGGCTTTTCATCCTTGTTTTGTCTCTCTGTCAGCAAGGTTCAGTTTGTGGTTAGAACACTAACACAGCTGTCTACACCCACTGGCCTTGTGTCCTGAACAAATTTCAATTCTGCTTGTCTCAGAGACTTCTGCGATGACTTTGAGACAGGATTTTTTTTAACATTTGTTTTCTAAACTTAAAATAATTTGCCCAATTTTAAGACTTTACTGATAGCCAATCAATTTGTAAGTTGCCTTCTCACTGTAACCCAATGTCTAAGGTATCAATGATTATGTGCTACTTCCCATCGGAATCCAGATCTTGGGGCTTGAGTCTGCTAGACCAGGCTGAAGCCTAAATAAAATACCTGCTTCCTGTACACTCCCAGTAGTGTCCTGCCTGATCTTTTTGGCAGTAAGCCAAGTTCCCAGCCCCCCCGTATATATAAAGTATTTTAATATTGAAAGAAACAGCTGATGGTGCGACTACTTGTGTTCCGTGTGAGACCCGAGTTCCATCCCCAAGATCGCAAAAAAAAAAAAGAATTATGATTACGTAAGGGTAATTTTTACATTTTAAAAATTGGTGTGTGTGGAGGTCAGAAGTCAGCTTGCGGAAGTCGGTTCCCTTGAGGGATCTCGCCCAGGGCGGCGTCAGCCTTGGAGGTAAGCGCCCTCCCTCCACCGCGAGCCGTCTCACCTGCCCACAATGACTGACACTTGTGGAAGACTAATTCTCCGCCAAAAAAGCTCCACGTTTGCCTCACCGCAAACCTAACCTGAACTTTTATGTATGTAAAAGTCGTCAGTTGGTAACAGTACACAGAAGGGCCCTACATTCTCCAAGTTCCAACAACTTTGAAGAATCACTTCTGCGGTTCCTTTTCGGAACCCGAGTCTCCCATGAGGCCTCGCGCCCTTCCGCCCCGATGTAACCCTAGCTGCTTAGCAGCTTCCGGCTCCAGATGCTTGTGGCCCCGTCTCTTCCGGCATGCACTGGTAATGGCGCAAGGACAGCGTAAGTTCCAGGCGCGGAAACCAAAGAGCAACACCCAGGGGGAGCGAAGCCGTAGACCAAGGAAAGGCGGTGAGGAGCGGGCGAGAGGACAGAGAGCACGTAGAGCCGGGGAGGAGGGCGGTGGGAGCGCGGGAGCCGGGGAGGAGGGTGGTGGGAGCGCGGGAGCCGGGGAGGAGGGCGGTGGGAGCGCGGAGAGCCGGGGAGGAGGGCGGTGGGAGCGCGGGAGCCGGGGAGGAGGGGGGAGAAAGTGGGAAGACAGACGGTGGAAAAAGCAGGCAGTCACTCAGGCATCCTCTCCTCAGGTCAGATCATCGCCCCCAAGAAAGCGCGCGTGGTGCAGCAGCAAAAGCTAAAGAAGGTGAGCAGGAGGTGGTGGGGACAGAGTTCGGGAGTCGGGGGTACCCAGGATGTCGTCAACGGGCCGAGCGCCAGCCTGAGGGTGGGTGCAGCAGGGGTCTGAGTGTGGAGAGGAGCTTCTTGTCCTCCTCTGACGTTGGATTCGGAGTCTGTACTTAGCATCGAGGAGCGCGAGCGGGGGCGGCCTCAGGTGAAGGTTAGGGGTTGTCACCAAATGACGGACCTTTTTGTTGTTGGTTTGATTGTTATCTTTTGTTCTGATAGCCGAGCTCTTCTGAGACAGGGCCTAGACATATGTAACCTAAGACCTGAGACATCAGATCTTCTGTCTCAGCCTCAGAGTGTGGATTACAGGCACTGTCCACTAGGCTCAGTTATTTCTGATCTTTTTGAGACAGGGTTTCCCTGTAGCCCCAGCTGGCCTGGAACTTGCTATGTAGACCAGACTGGCCTCGAATTCACAAAGGTCCACCTGCCTTAGCCTCCCGAGTGCTGTGATTAAAGGGGTGTGCTACCACTCCTAGCTGGATCTTTTTTTGGGTGGGTTTTTTTTGTTTGTTTTTTTGGGTTTTTTTTAGACAGGGTCTCCCTGTAGTCCTGGCTGACTTGCTATGTAGACTGGGCTGCCTCAAACTCAGAAAGATCCACGTGCCTTAGCCTCCGAATGCCAGGATTAAAGACCAACACACTGGGCTTGAACAACAACAAACTAGGTCTGGGTAGCTCAGGCTGGCCTTGAATTCATAGCAGTCCTCCTGCCTCTATCTCCTGAGTGCTGAGATTATGGGTGTGAACCACCTGGCCATTAGGTCAGCTCTAATCCAAGTTCAAAGGGTTGAGCTAATTAAGACATTGGAAAAGAGGGACTATAGAGATGATTCGAGGATTAAGAACACTGGCTGGTCTTTCAGAAGACCCAGGTTCCCAGCACCCACAGAGCAGCTGACAGCCATCTGTAACTTCAGGAGGTCTGACTCCCTCTCCTGGCCTCCACGGGCATTGTTTATACAAGTACACTTAAGTATATGCAGGCAAATAATTCCAAAAAGATGGATATTAGAGATTCCAATCTGAATTAAATCATTAGTGAAAGGTTTAGTCTCCCCTGAGCATTGGTTTTCTCCAAACCAGGTACCTAGTGGGCTGCTCAGCTCCTCAGGGTTGGGAAGAGTCTCAGGTAGAGAATGGACTCTTCCTTTTGCCCTTCCGATGCTGGGGTTACCCTTGAACCTGGCTCACTCCAGTCTGATTCCTGCAGAATCAATCTAGAATGTACCTGCTTATGCCAACAGCTCCCGATCAGCTACTCACTAGCTCTACTTCTGCCTGCTACAGAATTTTCCATGGTGCCTTACTGCTCAGGAAAAGCCCAAGTCCCTTACCTCCTGCCTTCATCCACCTTCTTCATCTCTACAGCTTTGCCCACTCCAAGAATGGTTCCCATCTCTGGATTCTTCCCACAGAAACTTGTTGGGCGCTCTTCCAGCCCCCACAAAGCATGCTGTCCTTTGGATCTCTTCTCCTTAGCACATTGTTCTTATATAGCAGCCTACAGTGCCAGATGCAGGGCTGCACCTCCTCAGCTCTCCTGAGTCCACCCTGAGTTGGTTATCAAGGTCCGTGGAACTCAGGCCGGACTGGGGTGGGTGAGGTGAGACACAGCTGCCGGTTAATAACTTCAACTGGCTCATGGCCTCAGTTGGAGCCCAAGGAATGTGGATGAGACATGAAACAGTAAGTTGCTGTTACCGTGGGCCCTGTGAGTTGAGGCCCTGGGCTGCCTACTTGATATAAGAACCTCAGGTTGTGCATCTGTAGAATGGGCATGATCAGAAAGGTTGAGATGGGTGGATTTATTTGGGTTAGTGTTGGGTTTGTTAGCTTTGTCTAGAGGGTAGCACTTGTTGAGTTGAGTTAGGAGAATCTTGAGTCTGTAAACCAGCCTGGGCTTTAGAGTAAAAGCTGTCTCAAAGAAACAAAGAATAAAAATGGGTGTGGTGACACCTTTAGTCCCAACACTAGAGAGGCAGAGGCAGGTGGATCTCTGTGAGTTCCAGATCAGCTGGGCCTACAAAGTGAGACCCTTTCTCAAAAAACCAAAAAAAAAAAAGAGCTGGGTGTGGTGGCACATGCCTTTAATCCCAGCACTTGGGAGGCAGAGGCAGGCAGATCTCTGTGAGTTCAAGGCCAGCCTGGTCTACATAGTGAGTTCCAGGACAGCTGGGGCTACAGGGAGACCCTGTCTCAAAAAGACCAAAAAAAAAGAAAAATCAAAATAAGAAACAAGAAGAGAAAGGTGTTGACTTGTTGGGTCTCTTGTTCCCTGCAGAGCCTCGAGGTGGGAATCCGGAAGAAGATTGAGCATGATGTAGTGATGAAGGCCAGCTCCAGCCTTCCCAAGAAGCTGGCACTGCTGAAAGGGGTGGCAAAGAAGAGGGGGGCCGCTACCTCCAACAAGATGCCTTCCTAAAGACTGGGGCCCTGCAGATGACCCCTAGGGAGGACTGCTCCTTGGGGAAGGACAGTAGGCAAGCAGTGATCAATCTGAAGGCACACGTCGACCCCAGGGTATTCTGGGGGCACTCTACTTCCTCTGGCACAGATCCTATCACCACAGAATAAACCTAGCACTGTTGTCCTTCCTGCTGTCCCATGGTTCTGTGAGCAGGCCAGTGTGGAGCTAGGTGAACCCCCCTGGTCTCCATAAGAAATCTGTCACACCCATTTAGTGCTCCAGAAAGTGCAGCCTGAGAGTAACTATTCACTGGCTCACCTGGAGTTGGCAGCCAAGAGTCTTCCCTGGACCCTTGCTTACCCACAGGCCTCCACAGACATACTGGGTCACTCTCTCTACCTGGCCAGTCCTCAGCACTGTTCCACACAGGGAGGAGATCCCATGCCCACAGAGAGGTGCCACCTCATGGTGTCCCATACCAGTCAGTGTAGAGCTACCAGGGACATTCCAGTCAGTATCACCTCAGAGACCTCGCCATTCTAGTGCTTTCCATGTGTCATCCTCTCAACCTAAGGGTAAGCCTGGCCTGCTGCCACTCCAGAGCCAGAACCCAGCCAGCCCCCACCACTTCAGGGAGTACTTCTCTGCTCCTGTCCACCCTGGGGCTCCTGCCCCTGGTGAGCATTCAAGCCTGCTACACCAGACACTGACTGTGGGGTCTACAGGGCGCTTGATGGCATTTCCTCTCGCTATGTCCTGGGCAAGTGTATTAGTCAGGGTTCTCCAAAGAAACAGAACCAGTAGAATGAATATGTATAAAGATTTATCAGCTTAGCTCACAGGATAGAGTCCGAGTAGTCCAACAATGGCTGCACCACACTGGAGAGGCTGAGAATCTGTAGTCGCTCAGTCCACAAGGCTGGATGTCTCAGTAGTCCCAATCCGGTGCTGAAGGTCTGACAAATTCCAAAATATCAGCTAGTCTTCAGTCTACAGCAGCAAGACAAACTCACCAGCGAGAGAGAAGGCAAGCCGCAAAAAGCCCCGTGTTCTCCTCTGCCTTGGTCTTTTATACCGGCTGCCATCAGAAGGTAACGCCCACATTTAGGGTGTGTCTTCCGGCTTTAGATGATCCAATCAAGAAGTTCTCTTTCATTTCAGTTAATTTCAGATCAAATCAAGTTGACACCCAGGATTAGCCATCACAGCAAGTAATCAGTGTGATGATGGTAGCCCATCCCTTTGTGCCCAGCCATCTCACCAGTGCACTGAGGAGACAGCTGTTAAGTCACCCAGGCTCAAACCCATGGTATTGGGTTGGATGGTTTGTTTTAGAGATAGGGTTTCCCTGTAGCCGTCATTAGCCTGGAATTTCATGTAGACCAGGGTAGCCTCAATCTTACATAGCTCCATCTCCCTCTGCTTCCCAAATGCTGAGGATTAAAGGCTGTGTTATCATGCCTGGCTGGTCAATTTTTTGGTTTTTGTTTTGAGACGGGGTCTCCCTATGGCCCTAGCTGGACTGGAATTCACAGTGTGGACCAGGCTAGCCTTGAGATCTGTCTGCCTTTGCCTCCTGAGTGCTAAGATTAAAGGTCTGTGCCACCATGCCCTACTTTCTTTTTTTAAACATTGAAATTTTGTTTTTTGAGACAGGGTCTCCCTGTAGCCCGAGCTGCTGGCCTGGAACTCACTATGTAGACCAGACTGGCCTTGAACTCAGACCCTCCTGCCTTTGCCTCCCGGGCGCTGGGAGTAAAAGGCGTGCGCCACCACACCTGGCAAGGTTGGCATTTTTTATATGTGTGGTTGTGTACAGGTGTGCAGTTGCCCAAGGGGACCAGAGGTGTCAGATCTCTTGGAGCTGGAATTTTGGGCAGCTGTAAGAATACCAGTGTGGGTGCTGGGGTTAGGGTTAACCAAACTGGGGTCCTCTGCAAGAGCAGTATTCACCCTTAACCACCAAGGAGCTCCATCCCCTGTCTGGGGTGTTTTGTGGCAGTAAGAACAAGCTAGAGGTCTTGGTTGTCAGCTTGACTGGGTTAAACGATGTCTTGGACTAGTGGACAGCACCTCTGTGTGTCTGGGGTGGCATTTGCCAGGTGGATATGACTGCCTTGGATGTGGGCCATACTGTCCCATCTGTGATGGAGGGAAGAACCTATCCCAGCATGAGCCCTTCTTTCTGTCGTGTCCACCAATGCTGCTGTTTACCAGCAGACTCCAGCTGGAGGTTACATGTTCATACTACACCAACAGACTAGTGAGCGTCCTGGCTTTTAGCTCTTCCTGGTGGCTATTGAAGCCCCAGGTGTTGGGACTGAGTAGCTCCTGGGTGGTCAGTCTCTTCGGTATGCAGACAGCCATGTTGAACCACTTGGCCCCTACCCTGCCTAACGAAGGCTCACAAGTGTGAATGTGCAAGTGTTTATAGCAGACCTCTTAGCACACTAACACCAGCTTGTGTCCCTATTGACAGGGCTGGGAAAGTAGAGTGTGCTCTGTGGTAGAATATTACTCAGCTATAAAAATGGAATGAGGGACCAGCAAGATGGCTCAGCCAGCCAGTAAGTTAATTTGCTGCCAAGCTCTACCACCTGTGTTCAATCCCCAGAATCCAAATGGTAGAAGCAGAGAGCCAACTTCATGTTGTACTCTGACCTTCGTGCCTGCATTAAGACATACCTGTGGCCACATATTTGCATAATAGATGTAAATAACAGTGGGATGAAGCATTGATCAGGCCACAGAGGATCAGCCTTGGAGATGATGGCTCACGTGGCATGATACAGGCCTGCAGTCTAGCACAGGAGGAGCAGGTCATGGTCAACCTCCACTACAAAGTAAGCTCAAGGCCAACCTGGGCTACTTGAGACTTTTGGGATGGGGAGGTTATTTTTTTTTTTTTTTGGTCTTTTTGAGACAGGGTCTCCCTGTAGCCACAGCTGTCCTGGAACTCACTATGTAGACCAGGCTGGCCTTGAACTCACTGAGATCTACCTGCCTCTGCCTCCTGAGTGCTGGGATTAAAGGCATGCACCACCACACCTGGCCCTTGGGTGCTGGGGTTGAGACAGGGTCTCCCTATAGCCCCAGCTGGTTAGGAACTCACAAAGATCCACCATCCACCTGCCTCTACCTCCCAAGTGTTGGGATTAAAGGCGTGAGCCACCACACCTGGCCTAGGCTGGGTCTTAAAATGTAGCTGTGTGTACCATTAGTCTAAGTGCTGGGGAGGCAGAACTCTGAATTTGAGGCCAGCTTGGTCTACATAGTCCAGGCTAGCTAGGGCTGCATAGTGAGGCCCTGTTTCAAACCACAAAAGCGAAGCACCTTTATGTAGAACAAGGGATGTCTTCCCTGTCTGCAGCTCTGGGGACTGTGGGTGAGGAAGGAGACAGCTGAGGGCAGTGCAGGGCTAGAGAGGGACAGGCTGGCTGACAGTTCCTTTCTGGACTCTACACTGGTGGGCTTGGAGTGGATGTTGGTGGCCTCAGAGATCTGTCCACCCTCTGAAAACGTTCCTTTACATGTATGGTATAGTGCTGACTAGCGTTTTACAGAGAAAAAAACCAGGATGGCACCCAAGCTTGGGATGCCTGCTGGCCTGACCTTCCCACCTACCGTTCCTGTCCTGTGCTTTCCCAGGTGCCCCTCTGTCTGGGCAGCCTTCCCTGATCCATGACCCAGAAAGAGCCGTTTGATGGCCACTATTTAATATTTGGGACGGGGTCCCACTATAGTACACCATCCCTATTTCCATGCTTTTGTTTGGTTGTGGCATGAACACACAGGCCTCCCTACCGCAGCTCTGATTGGTTGTCTTACCAAGGTCTCCCCTGGTTTCCTGTCATAGATTTTGTTGCTTAGGGGCCAGGGTAGTTGTTTAACAAGGGTGTCTCCCTTCTAGATCTGGGCCTGGCAGGTGCCCTATGCTCTGGTGAGTAGAAGGGAAGACATTTCTTGTCTACAGAGAAGTCTTGTACTATCAATGTACTACCTTTGAAGCCGAGCAGCTCTGCAGAGTGTGAGCTCCAGCCTGCTGGCCCCACTGCCAAGTTTAATAAACAGGAGCACAAGTGGTTATGGAGTGGAAGCCTTGAATTCATCTTTTCACACTGTGGAATGCGGAAAAATGAACTGGATGGGGCTGGCTCTGGGGCCACCAGGAGGCACCCCTGCTCCAGCCACTATGTCCCAGACTGACAGCATTTGGGTAAGCCAGGGAACCCTGGAAACATGTTTTGTGACTCTAGCCCCTGCCTTCCTCTTCCAAAGTAATTGTCAGCCCACTAGCCCTCTTTAGCCCTGCACTTCCCTGGCTACTTCTCCCTCCCTGCCTTGCCCTTGAAGTGTTTCCAGAGCTGCAGAATGGGAAAACACCTCCAGTTCTACATTGAGGTGCTTTGCTTTTGTGGTTTGAGATAATGTCTGGCTTCAAATTTGACATCCTCCTGCCTCAACCTCCCCAATGTGGGGATGACAGATAACACCATGACTGATGTTCTATGCCAGGTTCTGCCACTGCCTGACTGCAAGACCTTCAGTGAGTCCCTTCACCTCTCTGAGCCTCAATAGCCCCATCTGTTAAATGGTGATCCAGCATCCCCACCCCAACCTCAGTGTGACAAATCAGGAGCCTGAAGAGCCTGGAACTCCTTGAGCTGCCCTTAGCTACTGGAAAGCTGGGAGGAGGACCTCAAGTTGGCCATGACTTGTGTCTTGCTGCCCCTCTCCCAGAGAGTTTGGGGAAGCATCAAATGTGATTTTCAAACTCCACTATCCCCACTCAAGCCCTCTCCCTCTGTCTACAATGCTGCTTTTCCTAGCAGTGTTGACACTCTGCCCAAGAACTTTGGAAAAGTAGAGAACTACCTGCAGAAACAAAGAAAAAAAAGTAGAGAAAAGTAGAGAACAAAGCTCAAGTTGTGCAGCCAGGATCTTGGCTTCACCCAGATGCCAGAAGTGAGTCTGGCCTTGGGGCTATTCTCTGACCTGAGTCAGCATGAGGAGCTGCTAGAAAGGGAAACCCTCAGAAAGTTGGGGTGGGGTCGTTCTCAGAGCTGCAGGTCTATGTCCCCTCCCTAATCTAAGCCTCCAGGTGACCCTATGGATTTGGGGTCAGCAACTGCAAATGCCTAGACTGAGCTCAGCAGACTGGCTGAGGGGTAGACAGGGCAGGCTGACG